AAATTGTGTAATTTTACTCAATGCACAACCCTGTTTGCCAAAAATATCCCTCTCTTTAACATTGATACCCTAAACCAACACCCATTTAAATTGCAACTCTTCCATTAGAAATTGGATTTTCACACAAGCAAAGTTATATCTTTGTTAATGGACAATATCTTCTCTTCCTTTCTACGACAACTATGGGCAAAGAGTTTCTTGATGCCATGATCTTATGATTAGTCTGGAGATTTTGATTCGTCGTATGGAGACCATGTAGACACTAAAAGGGATTTAATTAAACTTAGTGTCTATTCCCATGAAAAGACCATGACGATGCTTCCCAAGGACATAAGATACTTGTATGGGACTTCAATTCCATTTTGATGACTACAACTAATAAAAGAAGTCATGCTGTCAATAATTTATCAAAATATGTCCTATGGTTACCAATAGTCACCAAGTGATGAATTGCCCAAGCAATTGGTACTTTCAACTTCCATTCATTTAAGTGTGAGATACTGGTATAGAACATTAGGAAAAAGAAGTATAGGCCAAGATATTAAACTGTGATCTGACTGGAAATGCAAGCAAAGATTTGAAAGTGAAAAGAATCACACCGAGACATCTGCAGCTGGTTATTAAAAGGGATGAAGAAATTAGGATTTTGATGGAGAAGATAAGAACACTTTAGTAATTTTAATTTAGGAGAAAACTATAATAAAAAAATAAATCATTAAGTGTGTGCATAGAGGTTAGTAAGTGTGTGGAAATAGAATTTCCCAACTAATTGGCAAGCAAGTTTCCCCCACTAGTCTTATTGTGAAATGGCCACTTTGGACACGTTATTGTGCTGTCCACTATGTGCAATTCACATTCAAGTACTACCGTTACTTGTTTCAAACAGTTGTCAACAATTAGACAATTTAGATTGAAATCCAAAAGTTTAGAGAGCAAGTAGATAAAATTAAAAGTTTAGGGGTGAAGTAAACAAACTGATGATGCTTTAGAGGGCAAAAGTGAAATTAACCCTATAGATAATTATCATATCTAATACAAATCGTATACTACGCATAATGTGGGTGCGCTCATCTTTAAAGTTGTTTTTGGGAATATGTTATTTTAATTAACTTTTTACGAAAGGACGTGTAAAAAGAATAATAAAAAAAATTAATTTTTTGTAGTGACTTTTTAATTAAAAATATGTTGCCAAAACAGTTATTAGAGTACATATGCCAAATCCAATGTGATAGTCCAACAATTTTATTTTGACATGAATAATGAAATCCACCCGATATACCAAATGCTGAGTCGGCATTTAACATGAACTCAACATGTCAAATTTAACATACTCCATGTTAATATCAAATATTGAGTCCACCCAATAAAATAATTTTATTTTTAAAAATAATATAATAATAAAATTTGACATATCAAGGAAAGAATTTTTATGCCAAATTAAAATACATTAATTTGCCACCTAAACTTTTAAAAAATAAATAATATACCATATTTTGAAAGTTTCAATAGAAACACTTTTATATGTTTGAAAGAATGCTTGACAATTGACTTTTATTAGCAACAAAGTCCTTAAAAAAATTAAAAATTTATATAAAAAAAGTTAAATGCATTTATTTACATTATTTTTGCTTTTTACACGTGTTTTTTTCTTTATTATAAAAACCTATTTTTAAATATTTTTATTGAAAGCTTTTTTTATAAATCCACTTTCTAAAAGTTTTATTCCATCCAACCCATATTCTTTTTTACTATTCCATTAGGTCCTATTTGAGATAAGAAAACCAAAAATACCATTTTCATCTACTTATGTTCCATTTAGTTCACATTATTTTCTTATATTTCAATAAGTCCTATGGGTGACATAATTACCAAAATACCCCTAATGTGAATGTTTACACTGTCAATGTGAATGTTCATATCGTCAATATGTAGGGGCCTGGCCCATGTCGATCCTCGTGGGTGCCAGGAAAAATTCGAGTCGGGCCGGGGCGAGTCCGGCCCATTGACAATGTGAATATTCACATTGACATGTTAACATTCACATTAATAGGAGTGTAAAATTGGCCCACGTCCCGTGGCGGCGCGAAACCCGCCTGCGGCCCATGGACGGCCCGGGGCAGGCCCGGTCTGACCCATTGACAATGTGAACATTCACATTGACATATTAACATTCACATTGATAAGAGTATAAAATTGGCCCGCAGTCCATGGCTGCCAAAAGTCCGCCCACGGCCCCGGGCCGGGCCGGCCCGGCCCGGTCCGTTGACAATGTGAATATTCACATTGACATGTTAACATTCACATTGATAGGAGTGTAAAATTAGTCCGCGCCTCGTAGCTGCCCGAAACCCGCCCGGGTCGGGCCCAGCCTGGCCCGACCTGTTGACAATGTGAATATTCACATTGACATGTTAACATTCACATTGATAAGAGTATAAAATTGGCCAGCGGCCCAAGGCGGACCCGGCCCGGCTCGTTGACAATGTGAATATTCACATTGACATATTAACATTCACATTGATAGGAGTGTAAAATTAGCCCGTGCCTCGTGGCTGCCCAAAACCCGCCCACGACCCGTGGGCGGCCCGGGGCGGGCCTGGCTATTTTTTTTTAATTCTTTTTAATTTTTTCTACCAAAATTTTATTATTTTCCACAAAAAAAACACTAAGCCTCGGCGCGGGCCGGGCCTCGGACCGAGCCTTGAATGAGCCTTAACCGGGCCGGGCTTCAAAGTGATGTCCCAAGCCCTAGCCTAGGGTCTCGGGCTAGGCTCGAGCCTCGGCCCAAACGAGCCTTTCCCGTGCCGAGTCGGGCCGACCCACGGGCCAAAAAATTAGGCCCAGACCCTAACCTTAGCACAAGGGTATTCGGGCTTTGAACGGGCCGATAGATCGAGCCTCGGGTCAGACCGGTGCGCCTGGGCCTAGCCTTGAGCTTAGGTTGGGCTTGGGCAGGCCTGACCATTTTTTATAATTCTTTTTAATTTTTTCTACCAAAATTTTATTATTTTTCACAAAAAAATACATTGCGCCTCGGGCAGGCTGGGCCTCGGACCGAGCCTTGAATGGGCCATAAGCGGGCCGATAGGCAGGGCCGAGCTTCAAAGTGATGACTTAGGCCTTAACCTAGGGTCTCAGACATGCTCGGACCTAGGACCGAAACGAGCGCTGCCCCCAGCCGTGGGCGGGCTTCGGGCAGCCCACGGGCCACGGGCCAATTCTACATTCCTATCAATGTGCATTTTAACATGCCAATGTAAATATTCACATTGTCAACGGGCCGGGCCGGGCCTACCCCGGGCCGCAGGCAAGCTTCGAGCAGCGGGCAAATTTTACACTCCTATCAATGTTAATATTAACATGTCAATGTGAATATTCACATTGTCACGGGCCGGGCCAAGCCCGCTTTGGGCTGCGGTCGAGCTTCGGGCCACCCACAGGCTACAAGCCAATTTTACACTCTTATCAATGTGAATGTTAATATGTCAATGTGAATATTCATATTGTCAACGGGCCGGGGTCGGGCCCGCCCTGTGCCTCTGGTCAATTTTATACTCTTATCAATGTGAATGTTAACATGTCAATGTGAATATTCACATTGTCAACAAGCCGGGCCGAGCCCGCCTATGGGCCGTGGGTGAGTTTCGGGCAGCTACAAGGCGCGGGCTAATTTCACACTTCTATCAATGTGAATGTTGACATGTCAATGTAAATATTCACATTGTCAACGGGCCGAGCTGGGCCCCCCGGGCGGGGGGCTGGCTTTTGGCCGCCTATGGGCCGCTGGTCAATTTTATACTCTTATCAATGTGAATGTTAACATGTCAATGTAAATATTCACATTGTCAACAGGCCGGACCGAGCCCGCCCCGGGCCGTCCATGGGTCGTGGGCGAGTTTCGGGCAGCCACGAGGCGCTAGCTAATTTTACACTCTTATCAATGTGAATGTTAACATGTCATTGTGAATATTCACATTGTCAACAGGCTGGGTCGGACCCGCCCTAGGCCGCTGGCCAATTTTATACTCCTATCAATGTAAATGTTAATATGTCAATATGAATATTCATATTGTCAATGGGTAGGGTTGGGCCCGCCCTAGGCCCGCTGGCCAATTTTATACTCTTATCAATATGAATGTTAACATATTAATGTGAATATTCACATTGTTAACAGGCCGAGTCGGGCCTGGCCCGGGCTGCCCATGGGTCGTAGGCGGGTTTCGGGCAGCCACGAGGCACGGGCTAATTTTACACTCCTATCAATGTGAATGTTAACATGTCAATGTGAATATTCACATTGTCAACGGGCCAGACCGAGCCCGCCCCGGGCCGCTCATGGGCCGCGGGCGGGTTTTCGCGCCGCCACGGGACGCGGGCCAATTTTAAACTCTTATTAATATGAAAGTTAACATATCAATTTGAATATTCACATTGTCAACGGGCCGGGCCCGCCCCGCCCCAGCTCGTGGGCTGGTTTCGGGCCGCCCACGGGCCAATTTTACATTCGTATCAATATGAATTTTAAAATATGAATGTTCACATCATAAAATTGCTAACTGTTCAAAAAATATTTATAAGGGTATCAAAATTAAAATAAGGGCATAAGTGTCCAAGAAAATAGTGTGAATCAAGAAAAAAGACTTTATGAAATAAAACTATACATATATGAGACTAAATGAGTTAAAAAAATCCTTAGGCCTCGTTTGGGAACATGCTAATTTAGTAACTTTTTGGCTATTTGGCTAAAATATGAGCTAAAAAAAACTAGTATGTTTGGGATGACTTTTTGACTTTTTACGAAAAGATGTGCAAAAAGTAGAGAGAAAAGAGAATCTTTGAATTTTTTGTATGGGTTGTTGGCTTTTTGGCTAATTTAATAATTTTTTGACTTTTTGACTAAAAGTGAGAGTTCCCAAACGAGGCCTTAGTAGGCTTCTTAAATTAAAACATTTCTAAATTTATCAATAAAAATTTCATATTTTAACACACCCCTCGAACAAAGTCACCTCCTAATTCATTTCTAGTCACACCGACTACAAGAGCCTCACACTCACTCTCTCACACCGAAGCAGCCGTCCATCCACGGTGGTCCTCCGGCTAGGTTTCAGTCAACGGTGGTTCGCCGACGACCAACACTAGTTATTCGACCACGGTGGTTCTCTCTCTCTCTCTCTCTCTCTCTCTCTATAAGCTCTGTTATTATCTGATTTCAATCTCTGTTATGATTTAGATCCCCTTTTCTGTTACTTAGAATATTGGTACATTTTTACTCAATTTTCTGTGAACTTAAACTCATACCTGCCACCCTTATTATGCTATTTGGTTTTGTTGATGTCAATGGTGGTTTTTTTTTAATTATTTTTGTTTATTGACAGAATAAATTGTGGTTGCATTATGGGGATTTCATGTTGGTCAGGTGTTTGGTTAGAGGGATGAATGGTTTTGGGGTGATGGGTTTAATAGGATTGTTATCATTATCAATTTGTGTTTTGGCCATTTGTGTTATTATGGAATGGGAGAGAGATCATTTGTGTTTTGTTTTGTTTTGTTTTGTTTTCCCCTCTTTGTAATGCATTATTTATCTTATCATTAATATTTTTATTGTGCTGTTTAAATTACAAACTACTTAGATTTGTATTTAAGAATTGATACTTTCTTCACTGATTAAAATGGTTGAGAATGAGATGCCCATGGGATATATCCAATTTTATTAGTTTTGAAAATTAAACTTTTTGGGTGGTTTTGTTAATTACACTAAAATGTTCTGGTATTTAATCTTTAGGAAAATTACACTAACCTCCCTTGACATTGTTCAAATTACACCCAGCCCTATTACGGTGATGAAATAACACTGGCCTCCCTTAACAGTTTAATAGCATGACACCTACACCTATGCCGTTAAGCATTTGGATGGAATTTGTTGATGTCATCAAAGTTTGAATGAAAATGTCAATTTTGCCCTTTATGATTTTTACTTTTTTAACAATTAAAAGCATAAAACGTTAAGTGAAAAAAAGAGAGCATATATGTTCTGTCCCAACCTAACCCCAACCCCCAAACCCCATACCTCATCACCCAACGCCGACTGTGGCTAACCCTTTATTTCCCTCAACACTCTCTCTCTCTCTCTCCAACATTGTCACCATGTAGCCTCAAGCCAGCAACAACACCAGTGCTGCAGCCCCTAGCCAGTGCTACTACTACTGCCACTGCCTCGCACCCCGGAGCCAGCAGTTTAGCTTCGTCCATGGATGGACTACCGCTAAACCACCAAGAGCTTCTGTCAAGATCGACTTTTGATCGTGCATGAATGAGATTTGGGGCTGATTTGGTAGGTAGGATTTTGGGTGTGATTTGACAGTAGGGGGTAGGGTTTTGATTTTGTTGAGATATTGTTATGTGGATTTTGATTTTGATGTGGTGGTGGCATATGGAGGAGGGGAGAGAGAGTGATGGTGTACTTTGGTGGAGGGTTGAAGAGGGTGGTTGCAATCCGCTGGTCGAAGGCCATGGCATGTATCGGTTGAAAGCTTTCCAAAAAGGGGAGCAAGTGAAAGGGTCAATGAAGATTCAAGGGTTGTGAGGAAGATGTGTGTTCTAATCTGTTGTGCAAAACAACAAATATGTTGCTTCATACTTCTTTCTCTCTTCCCTATATACAATCCAAAATTTGTGATCGTCGTCTAGTGTATAGTTGTGGTGGTGGCTGTTGTGGCTGGTGGCTCTATGACAACCTTTTGTTGTTTTGCTTTGTGTGGATGTGGGTTTGTGTGGCGGTGGGGAAAGAAGTGAAGGTCAAGAAAGGAAAAAGATGGAGTAGTAGTGGGGATAATGGTATTTTTGTCATTTTACCTATTTCGTTAACGTTTTTAACTTTTAAGACCCATTAGGGGAGGTCAATGTCATTTCTTCATAGTAACGGGGGTTGGGTGAAACTTTGGCATTTGTTGAGAGAGGTTAGTGTAATTTGCCCTTAATCTTTTGTTAATCATGTCCATGGATGGACTACCACTAAACCACCAAGAGCTTCTGTCAAGATTGACTTTTGATCGTGCATGAATGAGATTTGGGGCTGATTTGGTAGGTAGGATTTTGGGTGTGATTTGACGGTAGGGGGTAGGGTTTTGATTTTGTTGAGATATTGTTATGTGGATTTTGATTTTGATGTGGTGGTGGCATATGGAGGAGGGGAGAGAGAGTGATGGTGTACTTTGGTGGAGGGTTGAAGAGGGTGGTTGCAATCTGCTGGTCGAAGGCCATGGCATGTATCGGTTGAAAGCCTTCTAAAAAGGGGAGCAAGTGAAAGGGTCAATGAAGATTCAAGGGTTGTGAGGAAGATGTGTGTTCTAATCTATTGTGCAAAGCAACAAACATGTTGCTTCGTAACTTCTTTCTCTCTTCCCTATATACAATCCAAAATTTGTGATTGTCGTCTAGTGTATAGTTGTGGTGGTGGCTGTTGTGGCTGGTGGCTCTATGACAACCTTTTGTTGTTTTGCTTTGTGTGGATGTGGGTTTGTGTGGCGGTGGGGAAAGAAGTGAAGGTCAAGAAAGGAAAAAGATGGAGTAGTAGTGGGGATAATGGTATTTTTGTCATTTTACCTATTTCGTTAACGTTTTTAACTTTTGAGACCCATTGGGGGAGGTCAATGTCATTTCTTCATAGTAACGGGGGTTGGGTGAAACTTTGGCATTTGTTGAGAGAGGTTAGTGTAATTTGCCCTTAATCTTTTGTTAATCATACTCTTTGTTTTTTTATAAATATCTTTTGTTAATCATTCTCTTTTCTTAGAGCAAGATAAAAATTGGATGTGTTAAGAAAAATGTCCTTGAGAGCTTGGAAAGGATCATGGATTTTCCATTTCTTCCTTGTCTTGTTTGTGACTGTATTTGCTAAAATATAGATTAATGATCTTGTCTAAAATAACTAGTTTCCTTTCTTTCAGATTTGAGCCTGCCCATGTGTTGGTCCTGTTATCTGAAGAAATTTTTGGTTCCCACTGTAAGCTGAAGGTATGACTTTTACTCATTTTCTTCTAATTTCATTTTATATTTGGTTTGTGATGAGATGTTGATTTCATTATCTATTTTGTTTACTTGTAGCTTCAAAGCATAAACAAGTTAGTAATGATAATTCATCAGAAATTTTGGTTGGATACTTGCTATATGTTGATTATCCGTCTATATTGTTTCTAGCAGAATTTTTGTGAAATAGTTGCCTGTTAAGCTTTTAAGTTCAATTCTAAGGATGAGCTACCAATGACTAGATGTTGTTCATATGCTTTCCCGTTCTTACTCTCTCCGTTTTGAATTGTGAATCTATCAATATAGTATAGGTGTATTATCAGTCCTCATGAGCACATTTAGCCTGATTTGTTGTTAGTTTTCATCTATAATCTCTTTCTTCAATTTGTTCTTTGCTTGAGCTTTGTGTCTTATTCTCTAAAGTCTAAAGTCTTTTTATATAGTTTTGTCAAAATATGTGTTCCTTACATTTTTGTTTGGTTAAAGGTTGAAAAAATTTTGTACTCATAAATGGATGGTTCAACCATGCACAAACAATGGCGTTTAGAGAAGACTTACTCGACTAATGCCTGATTGGTTTTGGTAGCAAACCGATTATATCAAGCTTAGTTAAGTAATGAGCAACGATATACGAAAATAACGTTTATATAGAACTTTCATACAGAATGATGTGGCTCAATGTAGAGCTTTCACTTCAAAAATGGTGTTGTCACATCATTGTTGCGGAGTTTTTTGTATAAAATTTATATGAATAGAGTTTTCTTAAAGCAATAAATGAGAGATTAAGAAAAATAATCCTACTAGTAACAGACCTGGAGAGGCATTTGACGGACCCATATGCACTTAGTGGGCTCATTCTTGTAATGGGTGCAGTCGTATTCATTGACGCCTCCTTGGGCATAGTCCGATGAGCTACTTCATCTCCTAAAAGTCTTCGATCCTTAGCGTCTATATGAAGAGTAGTACTATACTACTCTATTATCAAAATCTTACGATTCACAATTTATGCAAAATTGATACAAATCTATGAGCGAATCTATTTTGGAAGTGAATCTATGGTGAATTGCATGGTTCACGAGTCGATTTTCTTTTTACAATTTATGCAATTCTTGAAGTTATCATGTCTGACATATTTAGATTTTTTTTTCCTCTCTTTTTAGTGAAAACTAGTGGTTAGGCACGTGCGTTGCACGTGGCATGTGATTTTTCATCAACTGTTAGTATTATAATTATGCACGTCTCTTAAATTGGTATGTGATATGTATACAAAGTATGGAGACTCGCATGGGTAAATTGATATGTATTCAAAATACAACTAAGTAATAAATGAATACATATTCGGCTGAAGAATTTAAATGATAAATGAGAAATTTTATAAACATAAACATTAATTTATAGTTAGATTATTGAGATCACAATCTTATCTTAAACAATAAACAATAAACAATAAATAGGTCCTTTAAATATAGAGTATTACACAAATCTTTTTCTATCAACTTTCCACTTTAATTTTTCATAATCTGTACATATAATACAATTGAAGGTATGAAATCAATTTCCTAATTACACAATTTTATTTAATAGTTTATCTCATAATACAAATTCATTGAATCTGCTATTGTATATTATTTGCGCACTATTGGTGTAAGAATGCATTAATATCAATATGTAATATATTTTTGTACATTAAGAGTTGTTGAGTCTTGTTTCCTATACCATAAATATCTTGTATGATGAAAAATATAACATTAGTCATTAGTATATTTTTATTTATGTAGAAAATATAGTATAGTTTTTTTAAGAAAATAGAATGATATTGTAACTTTCAATCAATATAGGAATTTCATAATTGTTTTCACCATATTTATAGATCTATGCTTATAAGAAAGGTTTTAAAAAACAGCCGCAACCGTTGCGTAACGATTGTGGTGGTTACCGCCACCCGTTACGGCCGCTTTTGCAGTGTGATTGAGATTCACAAGTGTGTCGGCCGTAGCGGCCACCGTAGCGGTCGTAACGATGCCGTAACGGCCTATTACGTAACAGTTCTGAACTACTTCTTTTGAAAAAGCGCGCACAAAAAAAAACTGAAAATGGGGGAAGAGGGATAGAGAGAAGATGGAAGAGGGAAGAGGGAAGATGAAGAACATGTTATTGATTTGTTGAAGTTGTAAGACCTATGTTATTCTATTCAGCTGTTATCACTTAACCATTTTGTTTGTGTGTGTCTATCTATATATTGTTTGAAAATAATAATAATAATAATAATTAGTGTGGTCATTATCTATTTGGCTTGGTTAAAATATGTATATATATATATATATATTTAGGCTCTTATTTATTCTCTTACTTTTGTCATTGTTTATCTTATGTATAATAGTTAGTGATTGATTTTTTGAATAATATAAAGTCATTAATTATTAAAATAAAATGTAAAAAACTCAGTTTATAGTGACTTAAAAATATGAAACATATTGAATCATACTTAAAATTTACAAAAATTGATCAATATTTATTTTAAACCCAATAAATATGATCATGGAAAAAAAATATGCGTATCGGTAAGTTTTTTTCAAATTGTGCAAAAAATAAAAAAAATCACGATTCTGATTATCGCAACCGTTACGCTATGGCCTTTACACCCCACAATCGCAATCGCGCCACCGCCACCGCTTTTCAGAACCTTGCTTATAAGTGTTTGCAGAGTCACTTTCATGAAACTGTCAAGTTACATAATTTATTATGTCATCTGTAAATAATTAGCATATAATAAAAATTGATTGAAACTTTTTATTTGATGTTCTTATTTTATGCATTATTGAGTTACTTGGATAATGTTGAGCATCATTTGATTTTTTTCCTTGTAATTTGACTAAAATGTGTGTATGAGGTACATTGTTTTTCTTGAACTTCACAGCAGATAAGACAATTCTTACTTTAACTCATCTAACTTTGCTTGAAGAGCATGTTGTAATAGATTTTCTGTGGTTTTTGTTTCACCATTTTGTTTTTCTTCTTGCTCACCATTATAACTCATTATAATAAAAATATTTTGATGAGTAAGAGTTTGAGGCGATATCATATTGTTATGAATTTCAAAATCCATTTTCCCTCAATAATGTGATTTTTTCTGTGAGGGAAAAAAGTACAATTATTGTCATGGTAGAGGTGTTTTGCAAAATCTTGGTTTGTTAATGAAAGTGTTTGTTGTGGACATTTGGTTCTATGACATGTATATATATATGTATTGAACATAAGTTGATATGAGAATAATATACAATTCCGTAGTTTTTTCTTAACAAATATAACTATATTAATAAAGTGATACATGTTAGAAAATTAAAGTATCCGATGGTAATATAGCATTACAAATTGACAATGTATGAATACAATAACATATATAAATTTACATTTATTTTTTATATATATGTTGTAAACATTGACATATATAAGATGTCACAAAAGTAATATGTGAATTTTTTTGCAACAATATAATACAGGTAATAATGAGAAGTTAATTATTCATAATTAAATAGTTGGTCATAATGTGAACGTTTAGTGTTACATTTTTGGGTGTATACGCCATTGTTTAATTAGATTATTAAATTCACATAAAAATTTAAAGGAATTTGTGAATAATTTGTGTAAAATTAGAGATTAGTGCAGAAAGATTTAAAACAAGAGAAGTTTATAGTGTTTGGTTTGGTTTGTTTTTTCAAACTTTTATTTTGAAGTTTTTAATTTTCATGTTTTTTTTTGTCTTTGACAATTTTTTTAAAAAAAATAAATTTTCTTTTTAAATTCATTTAATTTAATACTTGTTTATTTTTTAATTTTACTTTTAGATTTAAATTCACTTAATCTAAATACATTTAGAAAATAATTTGTTGTGTATTCTTTTTGGAAAAAAATTAATAATAATAATAATAACAACAAAATATCATAATAAAAAATCAGTAAATTTTGAATTTATAATTTTTTTACCAATCTTTTACTTTTTAATTCTATTTAGATTATTAGATATTAGATTTTTCATGTAAAAGTATAATTTAAATATAAAATATAAAGAAATTTCAATATCTTTAATCACCAATACTAAGAAAATATGAAAAATCAAAAACTGAAAAACATATTTAAAAAATAGAATCAATGAAAATGGTGCTTGTTTAGAATTTTGACATCATACCTTGGTTATTAAAGTACCATGTAAAATGTTACGGTTCATAAAATATAATTTAAACAAAAAAGAAAGTGTACGAAGATAATTTGCGAATTTTTGAGATACGGTACAAATCTCTATTTTAAAAATGCATGCGCTTTCCTCTATCTAGATTCGAATGAATGCATATAACTTTAAGATGCAACCAACATTATTCATAGTGATTTGATTTATGATGGACAATTGTAAATATTATGTATATCAGTATGGAAGCAAATACATGAAATAAGAAAAGAGTAATTGTTTTTTATTCTTCAATCATCATCAATGTAAAAAATAAGGAGACGATTGTTTTTTTTTTTTTTTGGATAAGAAGGGAGACGGTTTGTTTATATTTATATAGGACTCATGGAAGCAGATATATCGTTTTTGGGTGTTCAACTCCAAAAATAAAGAGGTAGTTGATTTATATAGGACTCTTCATGACTAATTAAAAATATAGTAAATTTGAGAGGGTAAAATTAAGATTTAAAAAAAAAAAGTATAAAATATGACAGACTCTTCACACTTTTATAATAGTAGAAGTAGATAGTCGATAGATTATAACACATGGAAAAAAATGTTGAATTTTGTTTTTGTAACACTCCCAAAATAATTTCAATAATTCAACTCCAAATACTAGTACAAAGTGATACAAAATAACTAATATATATATATGATTTGTTGTTATTTGGTGATCAGGAAGTTTTTAATAGGATCCAATCATGTTTAGTTACGTTTTCTTCTCATTTTTTTTCCTTAACCAAAAAAAAAAAATTATAGTATATTT